TCAGGCCACCACCCTAATGATTCATTTTAATGTGTTTGTAGTTCTGCAGTAATGGCCTTTGTGTGTATGTGCTTCTTGGTTTATGTCTGATATCATTTTGCCACTGGAACACTTTGAAAATGGTTGCAAGCTATATAATCTTGAGTTTCTATATGGATACACGTGTGCTTTCTTCTCACATTTTAGGAGTTTCACTAATGCCAGCCTATCTACTTGTGTGCAGAATGTAACAGCTGTAAGATCAAGGCAAAGCCTAACCATGATGATATTTTTAATTTTCTCATTAATTAGTTTCCCTCTTATACAAGAAGGAACTTCATGTCATTAGTATGATTACCATGACAATATTTTTGTGCTGTAAAAAAGATAAATGAAAACTGGCATCCTTTGTCTGACAGATCTTGGTTTGTGTTTGCATTTGTCATAGAAAAAAGAAGCACAGGCCAAACCAATAGACAGATGCCACAGTTGCTGGCCACCCAGCAAACCAGAGGATGCTCCCAGACTTGTATGGCAGAGTGATGCAGGGATGTAGCAGGATCAAACCTGGTGTTCCAGGATGTGGTGCCTGCACAGATAAAGATGTGAACCTGAGGTGGTGGACCTCTGTCACTTTTATTTCTACTCTGGGAAGGAGGAGGACATTTGAAGAAACCTTACTGTGATTGGTGACACCGTATGGATGATACAAGTACAACTTTCTCAGTAGTGAAAACAATTTTATTATTAATAACATTTATGTTCAGGAATTAGACTCAATTATCCTTATGGATCCCTTCCAAATCAGGATATTCTATGATTCTGTGCTGGAGGGATAGAAATAGACTGGTTTGTACTGATTATGCAGAATTTCTTCTTTTAAATGAAAAGTACGTTATCTACAATTCTGTTTTCTTCCAAAAAAATGTCTTTTTGCACCAGTTTTTGAGACACTGACTTTAGCCTTGGCTCTAAGTGTGTCGCCAGTTGCTTGTGAAGAAAGGTGCTGCTGAGGAGGAGTAGGTGTATGAGCAAACCCAGAACTTACTCAGCTCCGAAATGGGAAGAGCCAAGAAGCCAGCAGGCTATTAATATTTTTGACTTCCCATGTTTGTCACAAGAACAGTGGAAGATGTAAAAAGCCACATGCCTCCAAGCTATTGGAGAGAAAATGGGAAGAATACTAAAACCTGCTCTGAGAGTTTGTCCCCTGTCCTTTCATGGGGATCTTGTCCCAGCCCTCTCCCATCTGACTGCTGTCTTATTATTTATCATATTATCTGCTTCATTTGGGCCTGCTACTGCATCTGGCACCTCACTGTGCATGCTAAATGCCTCTTCGTTACAGAAAGTGAGCAGGCACTCTCGGAGTATCCACTTTTCAGGCTGAGTTAGAAGTGCTGCTCGCTTTGCCAGCTTGCTGAGCGTGCTGATTGATCCTTGTTTAACCTCTTTTCTACCAAATATATCGTTTGGGGAAGGGGCATGGATTTTCTTGATGATCTCAAAGAAAATACCCAGGGATAGAGGAAGAACCTAACAGGTAATAGTCAGCTTGGCAAGAGAAAGCAAAATGTATGGTCAGGAGTAGATATATTTGAGTGTCTGATTTTGTTTGTGCAATGCTACTGTAATTCTCAATCTCCTGCTTTTTTTTCAACTGACTGTCATGCCAAGGGAAAAGAAACAGATGTTCCCGTTTGTCTTGTGATGTGGCTCAAAATCATTTACATTTGGTGGCCTAAAATGACATGACATGTCGTTCGCCACTTCCTGTATCTCCTTTGGAGTGAGTGACAGATTGCTGTTCAATTACCAGTATAATAGAAAAGCAGATATTGTGAGGACAGCTTTCACCTAAAGGAAATGCAATCACCAATTGCTGCAGTAGTAGAAAGAGAAGGATGGCAGATACTGTAGAAGCCATCCAGTGGAAAAGACATTTTTATTATAAATAATGTCATGGGGAAGACTCAAGGGAAATGCACTGGCTCTGACTTTTCTGCCTAGAGAGAAGGAGAGCCAGGGGTGAATAAAAATATGGTGGAAAAATTGGCTTGCTACTCTTGTAAAATATATTTCCATCTCTTTGCCTTGAGCATGTGCTTCTTAAAGCCTTTCCATTTGCTCTGCACCCAGCTCCAATGGAGAGAAATAATTACGGAAAGACTCTTCATCAGTAGAAGACACTCATTAGAAGAGCTTTTTAAAAGTAGAAAAAATTGTTTGTCAGAGGCTTTGGGATTAGTCATTTCCCCACCCTATAGTTTGCTTTCTTATTGGTGTATTCGTGCTCTGCTTTCTCCCTTTCTCATGAGATAAAGAGATTTTCCAGGCCAAGCAGAGTTTAACCCTTCCTTCTGCAAGTCATTTACTTGAGCATCACTTGTCCACTCTTCATATTTTAGCATTCCCTTCTCTGTATTTCTGTCAAAGTCACTTGATAGGCACAGCACGTACTTTCAGTATGCTGATCGAGATGAATTTTCATGTCACGATCCAGTCAGTCGGTGGGTCAGAGTACAAGAGGTGAAGTTCCTGCTTAAAGTCTTTTACATTTTTCTCTCTAAAGGGACAAAATAAAGTGTTAGATGTAAAACATATTGAGAATCCTGTAATTTTTGTTCTATTAGACCAGCTTTAAACAGTGAATGTCCAGTGAAATAATAGATTTAGGACTGAAAAAACATGGTTTATCTGATAGTCTGCTGGACCAGATGATCACCTAAACTTTCTCTCGTAGTTAAAGTTTGCTCTGAGTAAGTGATTTAAACAAGAGATATAGTCCCTTGGCAATAAACATAAATGAACCCTTAAAATACCTGATTTTAGTCAAATAACTCGTGGCTATAGTCATACTTGTTATAATGGATGTAGAAACAAGTATCATCTGGAAATGGAGCTTTGCACTGTGAATGCAGTAAGGTAATGGCTGAAATGATTTTCAGTGATATATCGGTAGTTACCATTTATGCCTGACCTGCTTTTTCTGAATGTAAAGTCTTTCTGCACAGAGTGAAACATGTTGCACTTGACCATAATTAAATCCTTTATGCTTTGACACTGCTCATTTCACAGTGATGCAATAATCTCCTTGGGTCTGACCTGCTGGTAAAGATTTTTCCAGTGCTGCTGCACTGTTGTGTTACAGGATTGTCTTGAACATACTTTTTCTTTCTGTAGCTCCTGAAGTAGGTGACTTTATCCCTTTGAAACACATCCTGGTGATGAAAAGGATTTTTTTTCTTATTTATGAACTGATGGCTACATAGCTTGCAGAGTGCCAAACCTGTGTTTTAAGAGAAAAGGGGGGTGGGGGGGAGAAAAAAGTTTATCTTCTAGTACAACTAAATTTCTATTTTGCATGTGATCCTCCTATTGTGTGTGGACAGGCAGAACACTGCTTTTGAAAGTAATACTTTTTGATTGCAAGTGGGGGAAGGAAAAACCCAGCAGGTTTTATCAAGCCATTTTGGTCATCCATGTAATGCAATTTTTTACAGGTTAGAGCTCACTAATATGCTAAGAAATCACTCTAGCAAGTCACCCATTAAGGCTGGTTAGAATCAGGACAAAGAGTTACCGGGGGGCAGGAGGCCTGAGTCCCCGCTGATGGCCCTTAGCCGCACCCTGCCCACCTCCCCCATCTCAGGCGAGGGGTGTCAAACTCCTGCTCCATCTCCTCTCCTCCTGGGAGCAGCTCTGTGCAGGGTCAGCCTTGGAATACTTCTCCACTAGTCCCATCTGCTGGATGGCAGGATGAATTGCCTGCTGGAAAGAGGGAAAGCAACATAGCTCAGCCTTTAAATATGAGCTGGATGCGGCGTGCCACCAGATGTACATCTGCCTGTCTGTGCTGTGTGCTCCCTCTGTTTTCCTTCCATCCACCTAATCGCATTTGGACCACTGCTGTTCCCTTCACCAGGTTCCATGTGCTAAGTAAAAGCGAGGTGAGGAACTTTAGCAGTGTCGCTTTAGAGAAGCTCTAATCACAAAAACCCAGGAGCCACCAAAGATCACAGCAAAAAAATATGTGTATCATTATCAAGCTATTTCCAGGCCTGGGAATGAATTTCCTTTCTCCCAGTGTATATGCTCAGCAGTCAGTTTTTCAAATGCCTCATTAAGGCTGGTACTCAGCTGTTCTCGTTGTGCTGGAAAGGAGGGAAGTGTGGCCATCGCATCCAATCCCGCATGCTGCACCGCAGCCTCTCATATTATTATGAAGCTAAAAGAGCCTTCTCTATCGTTGAAAATACAAAATTCCTAATATATTTCTCACCAGGGCAAGCAAAGGTTAAGAGAGCCATAGACGTTCCCCAGGGTATTACTGTTCTTCGTGGTAATTCGCTGTTTGGTACCTGCCTTCCAAAAGGCAACTGGAGGGTAGAAAATGGATAATGAATGCAAAGTAGGGGAGAAAATTGGGAATGAATGTGAATGTAAAAAGGGGGAAAATGCATCCAGTCCTAGTAATCTTACTTTGGTTTGATTTGCTCTCTTCTTTACAGTTGTTTGTGATGCATTTTTATACTTTATGTTAAGTGGCATTGTGCTTTTGCTTTAAAATTCAGTTCAGGTGATTCTTACCTTCCATAGGCATTCAAGGGAGTTTTGCAAGTCAGAAACACAGCCACTTCAAGGATCCTGGGGAAATGTTACTGGAGGAAAATAATCCTAGGAAAAAACTCTTTATAAAATACGTAGATGAAGTTCAAGGAACAATATCATTTATTGCAGACAGTGTTTAGGGAAGCATCCCTTTATTTGGTATTGTTATTTTCAGTGAGCCTATTGAGTTAAAATCTATAATCCTCATCCTGAGATATGAAAACGTGCCTGTTTTAAATGGAACTGGTCCTGTTGGCAGGTGTTTTCAGTTTACCTTTACATCTCTCCTCTTTTATCACGGTCCCTTGCTGTAAATTAGCAGTTTGTGCTGAACTGGATACAATTAATATTGCTGCTGCTGTTACCAATAAAAAGATGTGTCATAAATAATTTTTATGTGTTTTTCTCAATAGGTGGTGATGGCACAGCAGAGAAGCAAAACACTGATGAAACTGAGGCCCAGAGCCGAGAAGCAGGTTTGTGCCCAGCTCCTTAAAGGCCTATCTTAGGCTTTATCTACTTGGTGAACAATAACCTTAGTGAGTGCTATTGAAGGGGAATGTTTGGACACTTTCACCGGATTAGCTCAGGTCTTGAGCAATTCTCCCATCAGAGACCAAAACTTCCTTCATTATGAATGGATGTGTTGCAGTGCAGGAATGCAGACTTCACTCTCCAGCTTACCAGCTCTGCATTCTCCCTTAAGGTGAACTCCCTCTAGCTAATTTTCTCACTAGCAAGAAATAATTCTTTTCCCTTCTGCATAGAATAGAAATGGGAGAATAGGAAATTTGGAGAAGAAGGAAGCAGGCAGGAGGGTCCTTTTGATGTGAACTCAACTTTGAAAGATTTTAGATGGTATTTTCAAGTTTTTAAAAATATCTGCACAAGTCTCAGCAGTTATGAAAATTTAAATCCATACAGAAAGATATTGATTATGCTGTGAGTGAATGTCAGAGTTCACAAGCAGGGAGTTTTGCAGGTGACATGCTTATAAATAATAGTGAGCTCAGTATGTTGAAATACAGTGTCACTCTGTGCTCACAGTAGGTTTTCTATTTTTCTTTTCTGTTTATGGTTGTTTTTTTCATCCTGCCCACCTCTGTTCAGTGCAAGAGACAGCTAGAATTAATCAGTTACCAAAAGAGCCAAAGTGGAAATCAAAATGTCTATATATTCCCTTAATTCTTAAGTATTTCTTTTAGTGTAGTATTACCTGTAACACAATGCTTTCCTCATATGGTTGGGTTTTTTCTCATTGTAGTGCATAATGTTGCCTAAACATACTTAATCCAGGGAGAATGAAATGGTTTTCTTTGAAACTTCTTTTTAATCAGATTGTTTGAATCAGATTGTTTTCAGTATGTGGAGAAATTGAGCTGAAGAAGGCCAGTCAGCAAACACGGCAGATAAATTTAGAAGGCCTAGATTTCTGACTTATCTGGTTTGCTTCCTTCATTGTGGTAACGAGGGTCCTCCTTTTTGTCCTGTGCACTGGGCACTGTGTATGTGGAAGTGCAGCTTTACTGCCTGCCCTCCACAGGTCACCCTTCTGCAACTGAGTGATAACATCTGAGGCCGTCCACATGTGCTTCAAGTCCTTCTGTGTTTCATGTCCTCTTTATCACCTCTTCTATATGTCCTCACATGGGGCAGGCAGTGGGAGATGAAGCCTTGGGCACACAGTATTAAAGAATAAACTAGATTGCCGTTGACCTCAGCAAAATTTATCCTCCCCAAGATAAGCATGCAGTGGTGTTTCGTGAATGCTGGAGGGCAACCACATTTCCTTTCCCGGGTTTTTCACTTTCATGCTAGTCATATTTTAAACAAGCAAAGGAGACCAGGGAGAAGAATGAGTTGTTCTGTCTGAATCGAGACTCTGTTTTGAATCTCTGACTAGGCTGGGGCATATCTTTTTCCAAGCAATATTGAGCTTTTAACCATACCACGTACTGCTTGGCTGCCAGCTCACCTAAGAACTGCTACGGCTCAGAGCTCCTGGCTGCAGCTGCGGAGGTTCCTGTTAAACCCAATTGGGCATCTACAGATGCCCAATACAGCCCCCTGTGCTTGTCAGTGATAGTCACTCTGATGGGGTGTGTATTTCCCTGGTATTTTGGTTCACAAAACAGTTTGAATTAAATGCATTTCTTTTTTCCCAAGAGAATGAAGGAATATTTACCTCTCAGAATTATTACTTCGCTACTGTAGGTGTCTTAAATGCATTGTGTTTTTCCCAAAACCGTCATTACGACTTGTAGCGATATGAGGTGTCAGAGCTGGTTTATCAGAGCCATGAGGTACATTCTTGTGCTATCTTACATTGGTAGTCATGTTTCGTTACTCTCATGGAGAGCGTCGGAGAAAAGATCCAGACATTTAAGGTCCAGGATCCAGAAAATGTCATTCTTTAGGAACGCAGTTTAGGTACTAGCCTAAAGACAGCGTTGTGCCCACGCACAGCCCATTAATCACCTCCTCGGCCACAGACACACGGTGTTACAGGGAAAAAAAATCATTTGGCTTAACAATTATCCCTCCTGGTTGACATAGTGACAGGAACAGAGGGGCACAATTACCTCGAGTTAGTTACATCCACCTAATGAGTCGCTGCTGCTTTCCAGTCTATGCATTGCAGAGACAAAGCATCACCAGGAACTTTGAGGTTGCTGCTTCTGTGCCCTCTCTTGGCACTGGAAAATTACCTGGTTTTCCAGTGTCCTCGGTTGTATGCCTAAAACATTTCTAAACGCTACAAGCAATCGCTGTTACGAGCAATACCATTAAATGTTAAAGTTCTTATTTGTATTTCTAAAGCAAAAAGCATAACTTTCATCTGAGTGGGACAAATACTTGATACTGTGAAAGAAAATATAGGACAAAAAAATTGACACTGTATTCTTACCCAGTCCATTACACGGATATTTATATATTCTTATTATAGTGAAAAATATAGTGATATTATAGAGAAAAATATATATTATATAGAAACCTATGTTAGTGAAAAAGCAGTAATAGTCTGAGAAGACTGAAAATTTTCAGCTATTACCGTGTGGGTTTTTTTGAAGTCTGGCCTCCAGTCTATCATCAATGAACTTCACACTTAACACATGGAGAAACAACATGGCAGGTGGTTCTGAGCTCTTGTTTCAAGGTAGTTAAATATACTTGGTGGCTATATTAGGAAAAAAATTCGTCAGAATCATCAGAGACAAGTCTTTTGAAAGAAATGAAAGCCTAGAAATGAAAAAAAAAAGCTTATAAAGGTTTTAGAACTATAAAAATTAACCAGAAAAAACAACAGTGAAAGTTAAAAAATTCTTTTGAATTCAGGTATCGCTTGTATCTATTAACTGAAGTAGTTTTACCTGCCTGCTCTACCATTAAAAAACTCCAAGCCACATGTTTTTAGGGACTTGCTAAATTTTCAGTCCTGATTCCTGAAAGCTTCTATTTTCAGGAAAGCATTTGCATTTAATCATTTGGATTTCAATGGGATTCATGGACATGATTAAAGTTAAGAATGGCATAATTGTTTTTTCTCAAAATGGATGGATTAAATGAAAAAAGGAATTTCAGAGCAAATAGCAATACCAGCCTACCCATGAAACCAATAGCTATTTCTCTCTCTGTATTGTGAGGAATTGAAATATAGACTTGATCTGGCAGTATTGGAATGTAAGTTTACCTCTTGTTTAGGAAAGACAATCAGATCAGTAATGGCCAGTGAGTGGATGGAAGCCCAGTAAATGAAATTCAAGTCTAATATCTTGCCTCAGTAAGGCATAACACTTTTTTTCAGTAAAGTGGTCCATCAGTTTGCTGTCTAATGAATAACTTCTCTTTCGTTTCCTTTGTTCTTATAGATGAGACAAAACCTTCAGCTGCAGCCAGCCTATCACCATCAGAAGACACAGAGCTGAGTGAGGATAAAGGTACAGATTGGAAATTGTGTTTTGAAATACCCAGTCCCAAGTGGACATTTCATGAAGCCTTATTTTCCTTTGTGTGGAAATTGCCCAAATCACAGTTGAACAATACAGAAATAGGTAAATGCTTGGATTTACATTTACAAAAGTCTTTGTAATGAAGTACTTGACACTAGCTGTTGTGCTGGTTAGGAGTGACGCTGTGAATTCCTAAGTCCCCTTGTTATGGAGTTAATGCTAAAATATCATACATGACATTTCCAAAATAAGCCCAAAGCCTGGGCTTGCTGAGATGACTCACAGGCGTAAAGTTAAGTGTGCATGACTATCTCAGCAAAATCAACTCCCTGTTCAGTGCTCTCCTGATGCAGGAAAAGAAAAACACAATAGCTATAAACACATCAGGAGGAGACAGGAGGAGATGAAGTCATAATGGAGAGGGAGAAAGTACTGTTTATCTTGTGCAGACTGTGCTGGGCACTCAGATCATTTAGTTTGTGATAAATATTTAAAAGTGTCACAGGGCCAAATGACAGGGAGTTTAGGAAACAAGAGAGATGATCTAATTTAAATGTTTCAAGCTGAGATTTTTCCTGTGGAGTTGTTGGTTTACAGATAGGAACCAGGGCACAGCTGTACTGTTTTTGATACTCTGTGATAATCACACTATTAATTGCTGTGCCAGTCTACATTTTTTGGCATTTTTGTGGGGGTACGTCAGGAAAAATCCTGGCTGATATATAAAATGTTGGCTACTGGTAATTCAAAACAGGAGTTACACTATCTATGATAAATACAGTTCATCAGTACAGCCTTCAAGAAAGACTAATAGAAAATTTTAATGCATTTCACTGAGATAACATAATTATTAACATCCATTAACTTATTTATTTTAAAAGATTTAATGTTTAATTCAGCATCGCTGCTTGACTCTCTTCTCATTTTTCTAGATAAGTGTGACAGGGTGTGAGATCCTGCCCTTTTGTTCCAAAGCCACGTGCTGGAGAGCCCACATACTTACCTGATTATGAGTTCAAAGCCTTGTGCAGGTTGATTTAAGGGCTCTTTTAACTGATTGATTGATCCTGCAGGGAAAAAAAAAGAAGCTACAAACCCTTGCTGGAGCACTTCGTTTTGCTGCTTCACAGATTGAAGTTGTGGCAAGGCTAGAGGAAGGCAGCAATAGTGATGGATTCAGTCCCGGCATGGCTGCTGGTTGCCTGTCATTAATTTCTCTTGTCTTGATGACATTTGGCCTTGTTTATGTATCTCGTATCTGTACAAGTCCCCATCAGCTGGGTTTATGGTATGTTTCACAGTGTGAGGCTCACAGTGAGGCCTTGGGTTTGGATTTTCCTTTGCTGTCTGCAGTTGTACTGAAGATCCCAACAGCTTGGTATTGTTTTGAGTGCATGTTCCTGACTACAAAGACAACAGTCTTCTGATAAGCTTTTCAGTGGCCATCTTAATGTATAACCACTCCGGGTTTTTGCCCCACTGCATTTATAATCTCTTCTCAGGAAAGAAGTCATGTTGGTGCTATAGGTCTCATTTTTCCTATGATACATTAAGAATATATATAGTGTTTTCCCCTCTTCTCTTGAGAGGTCGATGGAGAGATAGTGCCCTGAGAGATCCAAAGTGCATTATGTCTTTGATGTCCTACCTCTCCTCATAACTAAGATGGAAAGTATCTGGTAGAGAAAAAGGAGCAAGATAGACTCTCCTCTGTATATTTTGTTTGTAAAGCTATACAAGTAGGAAAAAAAAAAGAAAAGAGAAGACCATGTTTTGGGATTCGCTTGCTAGTTTTTCTAATGGAGCCAAGAATTTTGAACAATGAGGCCACCGCATGCACCAGGCCATGGTTTTAATCCTTATTTCTATCAGAGGATTTTCAATTTTGCAGATTTTTATTGTGAGGGTGGAGAGGCACTAGAAGAGGTTGCCCAGAGAAGCTGTGGATGCCGTCTCTGGAAGTGTTCAAGGCCAGGCTGGATGGGGCTTTGAGAAACCTGGTCTTGTGGAAGGTGTCCCTGTTGGGGAGTTGCAATGAGATGATCTTCAAGATCCCTTCCAACCCAAACCATTCAGTGATTCTTTGATGATTCTGTGATTTTAGATTTTGAGTTATTTTAAAATGAATACTAGTCTTACAAAAAAACTTGCTACCACTTGGGAAATGGCACTTTTACAAAATCCTGGCATTTCTGAAAACACCTGCTGCTCCCAAAATAAATTTCAGCCTTCAAATTGTTTGCCCACTGAGTTAACACAGCTAAAACCTACCAGATTCTGGAACATACTGATTTCTGTAGTTTATCTTCAACTAAGTGAACTGGATGTACAGCATTTAGAGAAATTATGTTTTCCCAGTCCTTCCACCTAATTACTGTGAAAGGAGATTTGTGGCAAATAAGTCTAGGCTGCATATTCCCAAAATGCATAGTTTAAACCGCTCAGAATAGGAGGTTTCCATGCCTGCTATGGAAGTATAAGTCTTTCAAATGTCAGCTCTGGTGAGTGCACCAAAACAAGTATTTTGAGTCCCATTAGAGTTGACTAGTTGTTTTTCTGTTGTTTTTTTTCTTCATATTTTTGGGATTAGAATATAGCAAACCCATTGATATAGTTATTTATTGCTTTAAAATGTGGTAATATTCAAAACAGAGCACGTGCATCTCTGCTACCATGAAGATCTAGTATTTTTGTCACATGTGAGTCATCTTTATAATTTTCTTTATAAAGGGAAGGGGAAGGATGGGAAGATGAAAGGGGTTTTCATTTATAAGAGTGTGGGACAGTGCAGGGATCACGTTTTGAGGGGCTCAGATTCAAATTAAAACCTCCTGTGAGACTGCAAATCTCACACTAATGTAAAAGTATATCTCTTCTGTTACAATAGAAGAGACACTCTCCAGGAAAAAAAATGTCCACAAAGGCCCAGTTTGCACATGGCCTTTGAGCAAAACGAATTTTTTGAATGCTTATCTGTCCACAGGAAAAAAAAATGGAAAAAGAAAGAAGGGCACTCATATTCTAAGAATATCAAGATGTTTGATGTTGTGCTGTAGAGGTATCCTCTTATTCCAGTTTCTCTTTTCACTGTCTGCAGAGAACTGTTGCAATTTTACCCTTGTAAACTTGCATGCTTAAGTACCATCTCTCGGCGGGGTGGGGGGGAGAAGCTGACATCTCCAGGCAGCACCTTCACAGCGCTTCATTACTGTGCATATGGAAGTAGATCCTTTATCCATGGCATGTTTCAAGTGAGAGATGCTTCTCTTTATGAAGTGTAAGGGCAGAGCAAAGTGATTAAAGTCATTAATGTTTATGCAGCAGATAAAGCACGTATCAGACAGGCTGCACTCAGTCTGCTATGTCTGTCTGTACAGGATTGTGCTGGGGCTACAAACTCATTTAAAATGGGCCATATAGTATATGTAGATTGGTTTGAACCTGTGATTATTTTTTGCTAAATAGAGCATGTGTGCATGCACATGCATGTGTGCGTGTGAGAGAGTGATTTGCATCTTCATCTCAGTTACCTCTTTTACCAATTACCATTTAACCTGATTTAATGATAGAACTTTCTGTCAGGCAAATGTAAAAAAGAACTGGATTTAGTACAGGTGAATCATAACTCCACATTATGCAATCACAGCAAAGTTTCTGTGCACAATACGCGATTTTAATTCATTAGCACTTAATAAGAACTGAATTTTCATTTGAAGGTCAACTAAATTAAATCATATGCTAATTAATTTTAAAAATAAAGTAGCGATTAATTATTTCCAGGTGTTCACCAAACTCTGGGCTCCTGTGGGAATGCCATTTAAAGCAAGTCACTATTTTTCTACATTCTCTGAAATGGAGTCAGATTCAGTCAGCTGGAGGCTTGTGTTGTCAGGAACAGAATTAGGTATATACCTTGGCTAGGGGTTAGCCCTAAAAACTTACTTTAGGCAACCCAGAAGCCTGTAAGTATCCTTTCTGTAAAGCATAATGGGTATAAATTCCTGTTTGGCCTGAGGTAGCTCTCACTATGGAAAAAATCTTGATGTCCTAAGACATAAATGACTGAGAAGAGACAAACTAAAAGATAGAGCTTTTCAAATGCAGGGGAGCTGTGCAAATCAATGTAAATTAGTCATTGATAAGTGGGTGAAAAAGATTGACTGAAAGGCCAATATGTTCAAAAAGAGGTGTTTAAAATCAGCTCTTAAGTATATATTAAGACATCTCAATGAATGACCTGATTTTCAGAAGCACTGAGCGCTCAGCAACTACCGATGAAATGTTTTTACTTCACCCTTGGGCTATGATTAGACCTGGAAAATTTCAGCCTGAAAAATTTCAATTATAGGTAACTGAAAGAGAAACCTTTTTTAATGGAAGAGTTTCAACACCCCCAGCCATAGCTGTGGCTCTGCATGCCCGCTACGGTGATAACATTTTTCTGTCCCTTGGTTAGAAGGATTCTTATGAAAGCAAACTGGCTAACACAACCTAGTTTGTGGGGCTTTGCGATTTTTAACCAGAGACATAACCACCACCAGCCAACCAACCACTTATTCTCTTAACACCCTCCAAAAGGGTCACTTCAAGCTGAACATAATGGGAGTTATTCTCTTTTCCACATTTAATGTGACCTGAGTTGCACATCCAGATGGGGTCCAGCCCCTGAACTACTCAAGAGGTATTTCTGCTCTACCCTTCGCCAGTACAGGCAGCTGCAACAGCGAACACTAATCTACTTAGCTGGTTTATTTAAATCCTACTTATTTTTAAATATTAGCTGACCTGGAGCCATCCAGCTGCGGTCCTGTCAGTCCAATGAGAGATCCTGCTCCTTCCATCTCCCCCCTCCAACCCTTCAGCACCTTCTCCTGTACCAAGGCTGTAACCAAGGCAATCAGGTTTTTCTCAGCTTTTTCCTTTCCCAGAGCCCTGTACAACAGGTCCTGCCCCTTATGGCAGCAGCAGGATGCCCTCGGTTGTTATACCAGCTGCACCTGGAATTTCTCAGGTGGACAGCAAGCAAGGTTAGAGGAGATGCCCTTCTGTCAGCTTGAAGCACAAATGGGTAGGAGAAGTACTCAGTGGACCCCACCTGCAGAGATGAACTGCCTGGTCTATTACCTGAAAACTAGCAAAAATATATCTACAGGTTGTTGCACCTAAAAAGGTTTGTTTTACCAATCCATATAAACTTGGGCTCCAATAAATCTAATCTGTCATAAAGACAGATTAAAATGAAATCTTAGTGGATATAAAAATAACATTTTAAAGTCAAAGCTCAAGAATCTCTCCCCAACTTCTCATAAATCACCATTTTATAGTTCTTCATTTTAACACATTTTCCTCAATTTATGAGGCAAAAGAATACCCTAATCATGTGGCAGCCTCCATGCACACCATTACCTGTAATTTTAGACGCCTGCTTGATTTCTTTCACTCTGGAAATATTCCAGTCATTTTTCACAGTATCATGCTTAAAAAATAAAATGCACTGAACCTGTTTCTTTCCTAATGACCAGCTTTTTCCCTCTTTAATCTTCTTACAGCTCCCTAAAACACAGTGATTTATCTATGCTGTGTGCAGGACCCAGGTGTGTTGCACATTAGAAACGACTCAGTAAATAAGCCATACAGAGTGTAGCTGAGGAAGTGAATTTTAAAAGATCATTAAAACCACTTAACATTCAGTTCTTACTATTTCCCCTCTTCCTTAGCATTTGCAAAATTTTGTTTGAGCAGCATTGCCTCATACAGTCAAAAAAAATTATGAATGGCATGGAAAAGCATGGGGATTTATGCAGGATTTAGACAAAATAGTGTCTGATTATTGGCAGGAAGGGTAGGATTGATCATTTATTGCAAGCTACATGCATTTCTTAGAGACAAATTCAACATACAGCTGATATATTGGAGCAACTCCCTATATGCTTAGGGAGTATTCTGATCAGTTTATTTAAAGTCTAAATATTTTGTTCAGGGGCTGTTAAACGTTGGGGCTAATTTCCAGGTGGATTCAAGCACACAGTCCCATGAGACATTGGTTTCAATACAACAGAGGGGTGCAGAGATGAGTGCTCCTGACATGGACACTGCCACTGCAGCCAGCAAGGAAGGATTTTGAGGGGACTAAGGGATGCTCAGACTTCATTGAGCACTTCAGTGCTTGATGCGCAGTAGATAAAAGTGGCCTATGTTTGGCTCATTTATGTCATTAAATATCATGTTTGGTTCATTCATGTCTGATCAGTGGTGGCATTAAAAAATGTACTCCACTGTGGTATCCGAAGCACTGATTTTTTTCAGTCCTGCCTAGAGGAGTGTTAACCTTTACAGTCCCAATTTATAGTTACCTGAGGTAAGTAGTGCCCGGCACATGTATTATCAAAAAAATAAGCTGTGAGATAAAAAACTGTGCTGTGAGATAATATCCTGGCTTGGATTCTCCAGTATGACTTCACAGATAAGTAGCTGGTATGGAGAAGGCTAACACTGCTTTATGCCATTTAAAAATATCAGGAGTTAGCTCCCTAGTGAATTAGAGATGAACAAAGGCATTAGGGATGGCCAGAGCTCTTGTCGACCCTGGAATCATTTAGGACTATAATACTGGGTTTATGCCTCATTGCATAAGGCTCCAAAGGAGCAGAGAGGACCAGCTGAGTCTGAGGAATACCACTACCCTATTGAAAATTGCATACAGGAAATAGTGTATCATCAGTATTTTTATTGACCACTACATTTGGTTTTACACTTTCACTTTTGCTTGGCTCAGATTTTCCTGATAAATCTGGGTTTACTCCTTTGCTTTATTTCATTCTCGTTAATCCTAAAAGTAAATGTGTCTTTGGACCTTTTAGCTTGAATATTTGATGCAATATTTGCATTTGAAAAGAAGGAACCTTTGGCACGGTCTTGACCTTAAGGATTTTGAAACTCAAAATCTACATAGTAACACCGACCAAGACTGATTCCTACTCCTGGAATAAGAACAGCAGACTCTTACAGCCAGGCAGTAACTCCTGCCCATGGTCTGTTCTTTTCAGAAACATGCTTTGAAAAAAAAAGAAAAAAGGATAATTTGGAATTCTGTGCAGCCAAATTGCTTTCTCAAACCCTGGAGCAACAGGAAAACTGTTTATGATAAAAATGAAAGTTTAACACAAAATTACAATCCCGTAAGAATAAAGCCTGAGGGGGCAGACTGCCAGCTGTGCCAATGGGTGGGAATAGCGGCGACACCCCACACTGTGTGAAAACTGCAGTTTTCCATAAGCCCTGCCCAAATGGCAGTGTGGTGGGGCACATACATCAGCCAGGCACGACGCTCCTTAAGCTCCATTTGTTATCATTGACCAAAGCCCGTAATTGTGCCTTTGATGCTGCGGATTGATTTTTGCATGGAATTGGAATCATTCCTCATGCTGGGAGAAAAAGGTAGCACCTGTGAACTGAGATTAAAGGCCCTGATCTGGGAGTTTGAAGTACTGTGCAAGAGGTGTGGGATAAGATGGCTCTAAGGGTCTGATGGGGCAGTGCCACATGCAGCTCTCCATCCCCTAGCAGGTGATATCACACTTATCATCACTTTTGACTGCCTGAAGGGGTGTGTTTGGGCCCTGGCTGTGTGGTATTTAAGGCAGAGGACTCCTGATTCCAGCTTTGCCAGTACAGTTCCTTTTACAAGGATGCTTCTGTATCATACAGGAAAAAATATTATATTAATTTAGGGTATGGGGTTACAGGTGGCACAAATCTTAGCTTGTTTGATATCCTGAAAGCTTTGTCTTGAACTTCAGCAAAGCCAGAATTCTGCTCATTGGGTTTAAAGTTTGCTTGAAAAATTCTCTATAGATTTTTAGTGCTATTCCCATTTATACTAAGAGATCCTTCAACTGGCTTTTTTATTAAACTTGGAATTTTATGAAATTCTAATTTATTTTTGCTCTGATTTGGGCTGATAGGGTAATCCTTTGTACCTCATGGTACAAAGTGGCATTCCGATATGAAAGACTGACAGACTAGTCCACCTGAGAACAGTGAGTAGTGTTTTAAGTCCACAGTAGGGTGAAAAAAAGTGCAGCAAGGGCAAAGTTTAGCAAATTGTACATCAGTGACTTATTTTACTTTCAAACTTGGATTTATAAACTTATTGTCATGCCATGAAAGAAGTAAGAAGCTGTGCAGGTAATTAAATATTTGCCTTGGGGGATTATTTGCAGTTAATTAAAGCCACACACTTTCAGTGCATACCTTTCCTACAGATTATTAAATTTGGATCAGATGTTAACAACCCAGCTTTCCCACTTATCCATCAGAGATTATAATTGGAAAGTTTCAGAAACAGAATTTTACAGGGGTATCCTTGGGTATATTGTAAGATTTGCTTGGCTGTATTGTGGAAAGGGACCTTCCAGAAGTTGAGCTACAACAAGACTGTCATAACATAATTTATTATCACACTTTGTAGATCTTTTGGCACCGTCACTTACGTTTTCCATCGAGCAGCACTTTAGAAAGTGTCTCACACGGGAACACAAATCCTGATTATCTGTTGCCACTGTTATGACCTGGAGTGGACTTAACCCCTGTAGTTTGCAAAAATGTCCAGTTAGATTAGCGGTGGTTTTAATGAGGCTCAAAGAGGGCTCTTTATCCAGGCAAAGCTGTGTGTTATGGGGATGAACAGAGCTAAAACGGCTGTCTGCGTTGCTGCATTACCTGAATTCAATGGGATTATGCATTATGCATTTCTTCATCCCCAACCAAAAACTAAGTGGCTGTTGTCAGAAAATGCTGTTGGATACAAGAAAATAATGCCCTGTCCTTATTAAAATCCCAGATAGCATGGCAATTGAACTTCATGTTATCTAATTTAAGCCTCACTTTGCCACTGTTTCAGAGTATGGCTGTGGGCAGTGCATTTTGACAGTCTGCTCCAAAAAAGAAAAGCACTCTGGGCCACAATAATGACCTTGGGAGTTCTGTCATCAAGTGACATGAGGCTAGGATTTGCACTGGGATTTATGGGATTTAATGTTTGTCAAGCTTGTGAAAATCCAACCACAAAAAAGTGTTGTTCTAAATAAATAATAAATCACTTTATTTATCAAGCAGGTGGTTTGTGCTGTTCCTCATAGCTTTGTGCCACTCCATTTGTTAGAAATAAAATTCTTGGTAGCTCTGCTGATTATTCTTAGGCATCCTTCCTTGCCAACTCCTTGTTTAAGGTTTGTACTGCAGGCAAAAAACTGCTCAGTAAGTGTAGGGGTTCTGAAATCAATTTGAATAGTTGAAACCCACAAGTATACTTCTGTAGTTTATAGGGCTCTGGTTAAACAGATAGAAAATCTGTCAGCATATCAGAATGCAAATAGGAAGCTGGCACCTAAGTGCTACCTCTAACTCAAGGAGCTACCAGGCTTTTCCAGTGTGAAACCTGCTGCAGGATTTATTTGTTTGTTTGCTCTTTCCTCAGACTCCCTGAAAGACTCCAAAGGCACGCGGGAGAGTGATCCAGTGCATCCTGTGGCGTCTGGGCAAGATCAAGCCGAAGGTGAAGTTTTGTTTGAAAGTTTCTTGAGACAGAGATAATGAACCAGTTGGGAACTTTAGTTGTTCCATTTTCAGCATCCAGTGGGTTTCAGCCTGACCTCTGCCCCCTTAAGGAAATGCTGTTGGTTGGTAGAGGCTGTGTGTCAGCCAGTTGTGGGGCCGTAGTCTCTGGGGTTACTGGAGAAGACACACATCTCCAAATATGTGGGTTAAGCCGTATTGATCCTGGGTGCATAGCATTGTTATTATTGTCCTTCTGTGTTGCTATTGTTCTAAAAGCCTGTGGGCTGTTTCTGTTCCTTCTGCTAAGCTGACTGTCAAGTGCAAGAGCTTTGCAACAGCTCCTATGAGAAACAGTGTCAAGTCTGGGCTACAAAAGAAGAAAAAATAAAAGTAATGCAGGATCAGTTTTAATCAGCCATTTAACAAACAATGCTGGGAGTTTGTTAAGTGATATTTTCATATATAAAATAAGTCAAACATTTCACTTAACAGAAAAACAGCAGTACTTGGCTGAGAAGTACCATGATGTATGGTAGGTTCATGTCTTGTTTTGATGAACTTAGCGTTGCCAGCACAGAGCATCATCCTGATGCCATTTTCTGTTTGTTTTATTAACAGGACAACAGGATGTTTCTGCAAAGGAGATGAAAACTGGGGCAGATTCCCAAAGCTCCTGCATGGATGTAGAAGGTACTGCATGTGTCTTGAAAGCAAAAAGCAAGATTAACAGGCAAAACCACTATCATAGAATCACAGACTCATAGAATGTCTTGGGTTGGGAGGGGACTTAGTGACCACCTATTTCCAACCACCCTGCCATGGGCAGGGACACCTTCCACTAGACCAGGTTGCTCAAATCCCCATCCAGCCTGGCCTTCAACACTTCCAGGGATGGGGCATGGAGTATGTGCGTCACTGGGCTTGTGAAGAGTCTCAGTGTAGAGCCATACTTGGATCCAGGCATGTGGTGATTTTGTGCTAGATCCCAGAAAGTTCAGCATCTTGAAGGGTCAAGGCTTTGCTGTCAACTACAGCCCCTTGGATTTCCTTGGGCAGCTTTTGTCATTGTACCCTTGGGGAAAAGGATCCTTTTCCTCTGCCAGTGTTTTTAATGGCAAGGTCTCTAGTGGATGTTAATCCTTTTATGTCTGTTCTGAAAGGCCTTAGTGTTCATCTTCTTTTTATCAAATTTATTCAGAGACACTGTTGAACCAAGAAGACACAACAGAAGTTGAGACACCTTTGATTCCTGGTGCAGAGGAAAAGGAAGAAGGAAAAGAAGAAGAAGGAGGTGAGCCTACTTATAAAACAGATTGAGACAGAATGCTGCTGGACTCATGTTTTCCTTTTTATTGTAGGAAACATGAAAAGGGGACATAAAAGCTTTTTTCTTCTAAGAAAAAAAATCCTTTTTTGTCTTATCTTTGAGTGTTATTTTGATATATTGAACTTGGATTTGCATAGGAAAATAAGTGCAAAAAAGTGCACACCCAGGTTCAAAAGTGCCTTTAAAATAAATACTCTTCTCACTGTTGGTTTTCTGCATTTGAGTGCATAAGGCTGATTAAACAACCAATTTATGTCCATTTAAGTACACTCTTGATCACGTTCGCCAGAAGCATCGCGAGTATTTAAAATAAATGGGTATGATTATTATTTGTGAGGTCATTAATAAAGATTTAACTAGCAATTAACTAAAACTAGTAATTCTAATGAAGAAACCAATATTTAGAGTGGGAATGCAGAGTCTTGCTGAAGTAGTAATTTTTTCTGGGAGTAAAGTATTTAAATCCTTAGGAATGCTTCTGCAAGGAAATGTAAAAGTTTAAGTGTTGGACACTTCTGGGAACCCTACATTCATCTCACCACTCGCAACAGGCACATGGTGATATATAAAATAATGTATTATGTAAATAATTCTCTAATTTAAAGTAGCTGCAAGTTAATAATTATATGGTCATTTGTAGAGCATGGGGATGAATTTTACAGTTCCAAATTAAAACACAGACATGATTTTTATTGAAAATTCAGGTCAATACTAACTGTGTTGTCCTAATTATGAACTCCTTTTCCCAGCCACATTGACACCAACTTAATTGCAAACCTGTGTTAGCAATATTGACATTTTTCTTCACTACAAAGCTGGGTTAATAGAACCTCTTTGTTCATATAGAGCTAAACAACATTTCCTCTCCTTTTTTTTTTTAATTTTAATTGCCTATCCAAGTTGGGACTAATCACATCTCCTTATTATTGTTCATGTTAATGTTATTGGGTTTGTGCTGTATTAATGATGATGAAGGGAGAATTGATATAATCCTTACTTTCAAGTCCGGGTAAATGGTACCTCCCTACCTCAGCTGCAAATCCAGGTTATACAATATAGGCTCACTCTGATTGCAAATACCAATGTCTTCATGTTAATTTCCTCTGAATAGAAATTATTTACATTTTATTTTATGCCTCATCATAAGCAAGTTGGACAAAATATACTTTCGTGATTTGTAAATTTTCTCCTCTTTAATACTTTAGTGTCCCCTACGGCTAGGGACTGTCGCTCAGTTCTCAACAGAGAGATTGAGTTCCACCATCTGTTCTACCTACTATTAGAATATGTAACGTTAAGGAAAAGAAGGTAATGTCAGAATAATGTTGTTCTTGGCACTTTTCCTTTTCCTGCCCCTGATTTAAAAAGTTCAAATACTAAGTACGTAAAAGGTTCTTTTTAAATATTTTGGAATGTGTTCCTACCTGGGGGCTCAGGCGTTGCTCTTGTGCAGGATTCCTCTGATCCAAAGCTTGTTGGAAGTCCATAGAAGGACTCTCATCAATTTAAGTGAGCTTTTGGTAAGTTTTCTGATAAGAGGAGATGATGTGTTGAGTCTGTGTTTGGGATAACAGCACAGATATTCTGTTCAGCTTCTTCCAAATATACTGTCTTTGGCTCAGGGAAAATAAATGGGTGCTTTTTCAGGGTTTTGAGGAGGAAATTAAGGCTTTCCCTTGTTTTGTTCCATTCTTATGGGTATAAGCACTCTCAAACTTCATCTTGCTAGATGCTTCCTGTTCTGGTGGGCACATACTCTCTCACATGGGTTTTGAAAGTTCACCACAAAGTGAGGTGGGTCTGGACAAAAAGAGGTAAAAAAGTAAAATCAGCTGAAGTTCAGGCTGATAAAATAAGATGTATTCCCCAATGAGAGACTTCTCTTAATGGAAAGAGATTACCTAGCATAAAACAGAGATTTAATATGTAACATTATTTTATGTAACCCAAGTGCTACCTCGTAAACTAATTCAGTTGAATAGTTTTCCAGCAGCGTGCACAGTACATTTGACATAGGATGAAGTGGCTTATTTTTGTCTAGGAACACGTGGAGAAAAAAACTAACATGGGACTTCTAGTCCTGTTAAATAGAAATACAGGAATTTTTAGTTGTTTTGGACCGTTCTGGATCTCTATGCATGGTGCAATGTAGCGACTACTAAACTGCAAGCTACCTGATCTTTCTGTTCTATGACTGACTGGTTTTTTTGTGTCATCAAGGTCATCCTGGAGCAGAGGGTAGCATATATCTGCCTCTCTCCTCTTTCTCTCTCTCTCTCTCACTGGGAGCTATTAGATTCATGGGAGTCATCTGCGACCCATGTGGTCCCCAGCACTGGAGCTGTGTGAGCCACTAAATGGCCAACAAAGATCAGAGTCCCTTTTCCAATCTAAAGCTGGATTTCTGCTCAGCTACTGATTGTGGCTTTGAAGCATGCTAGGAATTTTTTCAGTGATATCGTTTTCCTTGGAAAAATGACTGTTTCTTGCTTTTGAGATGTGTCTCAATTTTTGCAAACTTCTGACAAACCACAGGTTAGCTTCTAATTTAATTGTGCAAGTTTTACTACCAGCTCATCTCTGTGGTTTGGGGGATTTTGGGGCTTGCAGGGTCCTTTCTGTATAGTTCATTTGGCTTCACAGCTCCAGAGTCATGCAGCAGTGTGTATTTCTAAGGAGTCCCAGATCCTGGTGCTCTCAAGGTTCTGGTGCGCCAGGAGCCCAGAGGAATGAAGAATCAAAGTCTTGGCAGTCTCACTGCTGTTTCCCATTGCCAGCAGTAAGAACCAAGCCAGATTACCCTGAAGAATATAACAATGTAAGGCACTGTGTGTGTTTCATAAAAACCTGCTGTTGCTTTTTCCAAAATCAGTAATAAAATATCGCATGTGCCAATTTATTCCCTTTTTTTCCTACTGTAACTTAAAGTTATATATTACTAGGGAGCAACTGAAGAAGAAAGGCAAACTAAGATGCCTTTTTAATTTTTTTTCTAGCTACTATAATGCACTCATTGTGGTTCACAAAAGAATAATGAAAATCTGTGTTTCTTATAAGATTAGGGAATATTGTCAAATCCCTTTATTAAAAAGCAGAGTAAGTGGTGATCACTGACCTATTTGCTGACTAGGTAAGTGTACATGCTTTTAATAGACCATTTGGCAGTCCCTTTATATGTACACTTGGAAATAGTCCTGTTATGTTGTAATGACCGTGCACTCAGCATTTAGCTGCAGTTTTAATCAGCACACTTCTTCCACAACACAATTTGCAGCACATGGAAATAAACCCCATGTTGATTTGTGTGAATATGTAGCCAATTCCTCCTCCGAGCCCACTCTTCCCTCTGTCATCTTATTTCCCATCTCTTTCTGTCTCCCTTTGTCAAGACATGCAATATGATGATTTCCTTCTCTGATCATCCTTAGAAGTTGCTTCACTCTTTGGAGGGATAGGATTTCTGTCGGAGCACTAGAAAATGAAGTTATTTCTGTTATTTCTCTGTTTTCTCTCTTCTGTATTTGGGCTAAAATATTTTATCTTACATGGTTTGAGCTTGACCTGGGATGTTCCTGCACCCAAGAAACAAATTAGAGTGTTTGAGTAGCATCCTCAGCCTAGCCAAGGCTAGCTGGGGGAGATTTCACAATTTAAACCATTTGAAGTACATGAGATTTTCTTTGTCAGTCTTCTGGTCAGTGCTTGTTTACTGTAAATTTGAATTCTGCTTAATTTCTGTTCAAGCTAAGCTCAGTTTTGCTCAACAGTCTTTGTTACATGAATAGCTCTGTAACTCTGTAGCCATCTTTTCATCTGTCCTTCACTTACCGATTGCACTTTAGCAAGAGTGATAATTTTATGGCATAATCTTGGAGAGAATTAAATATTACAAAACCTGAGGAACAGAGCTCTCTCTCTCTCTTCTTTTTTATAGGATTTTTTTATGCATTGGTACAGCCATAAATAACATCAAAATAATGACTTTAATATGACATTGTGGCTATAGAGAAACTAAATACTTCTTGAGAAAGATCTTTTTGGACAAATCTGACATTTTTATTCTTGACTCATGGCAATTGTAACTACCTTTTATTGCTTAATCAAACTGCTTTTCAGCTTCGAGTGGAGAGGGATGAGACATTTCAGAAAAAAAAAGAGATTTAAAAAAACTTCCTTTAAAAAGAAAAATTCTTTTTGTTTTGAAAGAAAAGAATACAAAGATATTTTGGAGAGATGTGGCTTCTGAAGATCTAGTGTAAAGACTCCAACTTCTTTTATTCAGTTGCCCAAAGAGGAGAGGAATAAATATCCTGAATCAGGTACAGTGTGTTTGGTCTTTGATAACAACCCATACTGAATAGATCAGATGCCATTTTTTGAGCTGTTGCAGCATATTCTGATGCTAAAGATGAAATGTGTCTTTAAAATCTGCTTCTGACAGATATTGGTGTTTGTCAAAGAAAAATAAAAGTGGATTTGCTACACAGAGAGGTGGACTGTTGGGAAGCAAGTAGATGGGAGTAGCTGGAGATGCGGAGAAAGATTATCCCTGGAAAGCCAAAGAAGTGCCTTTATCCAGGGGATACCTCTAGGATTTAAGAAACCTTGTTTTACATGCCTTTATTTGCTGGAGATCTGCATGAAACTCCAGTGAACTTTGCAGTTGCAATATCAGTCAGATGAAGAGGTTTTGTGAGCAGATTCTGCTCGCCAGCCTGCTGTGGTCAGTTTGTGGTGGCCCAAGTGCTGTTTGGTCTATATATCCCAGTGTAAAGTACTTTCACCTTCTAAAGGCATTATACCTATGGTAGAAAAGGATATCCAGGTAATGTCTATGGCTTGTGGAAGTAGCCAGGTGAGGCTGATCTGCCTGTGAGTGGCTCTGTGTGAGCATATCTTCTCTGCCCTGCTTGTATGTTACAGCCTGAGGAAGAGGAGTGGGTTTTTTGGTCCCACTGTCTGTG